TTCGATGTATCGTTCAGTACGAATTAACGAGAAAAAACCATTGACCACATTTTCATTTAAGAATTGCTATTGAATCGTAACACAATCAAGCATTTTGCTGAAGTGAATGGTGACTAGAAATGGAAAGTGGATCACTTAAAGCAACACCAAAGGAAGATAGTCGCGGTCGAAATGTGTGACCTCCATATCAGGAAGATTTTGTTGTGCGTTTGGTGAGATCGGCACGGAATCATATCTCATGAGTTTCTTTTTTGCAGCCAACTTCTTATTTCGGGTACTATTAAAAATTGAACAGAAGTAGTTGCCTAGAAGCGCCCAGCTTTGACCAATAGGAGGAAAATTTTCAGACCACACACATTGATACTGACTCGCTAGAAGTTCCGAGAGCTTGATTGTGGTGTTTTTCTGCATCCACCTTTTAGTCCGCACCTCCCACCAAATAAATATTATATGTTCTTGTATACTGCGAATGAGTTGGATCGTGGAAAATTGGCCTGAAGAGAAGCCCATGACGATCGATTGGTCCAATAGAGACAAGGGTTACAATGACATTACCTTCAAAATTCCGTACAGGGATCAAGCAAAATGCTACCTATTTGACATATATATATATATATCGGATAATTCTAACTATGGTAAATAAAATGTTTAATTTAATGCAAAAGGAATGAATTACTTTTTACTAGATCCAATATATTGGAATCATAAACGAGAATGTAAAGATGAACCAGTAGGAAATCCTTTTAGATGAGTTTCAGGGAAATCTTACTTTTATGATTTACAGGCAAGTGATTGATGTGAGTTTATGGAAAACTTATTTTCATATAAAGTCCCTTCTTCTGATCGGAAAAATCGACTCCACCTATCATTTTATTTTAGTCACTGACATTTTTCAGACAGTCAGTAACCTTTTTCAGTTCCAGCTTTAATTTTCGTTGAACTTTTCCAAAACGTGACACAGGGGAATTTCAAACTATAAGCCCTCTTAGAGAATCCGTCCAACGTGCTCTATCGTCTAAAATGATTATATCATTGACTTGGAACTGGCGTAGAGTGTTTCTAATAACTTAACCTTCTTGTATTTGCGCACGGTATATCAGCCCGAGAATTGGTAACGCTTATATTTTTCGACATACACCTTTGATGCTATAATGATATTTATAGTTAATAAGTTAATACTATTTAAATTAACATTGCTTTGGCAATCAGGGCATACCATAACTGCATGTTCGAGACAAAAATATCTTTTCACATGCAGTTGTATCGTGTTTTACGGTTGTTCTCTGAGGAACAAAATTGTTAATTATAATCTGAAGATGAAGTCTTTAATAATCAAATCTTTATATTTTAAGATTCTCTACTTAAACGCTGTCATTAACGCCCGTCTTTTTAGGTGGGACATTTTTAGATCGAACGAAAGCAACTGTAAGAACCTTTTCTGGGTTGTTATTGTGTTGGCATTGTTAATAAAACAATATATAATATATAAGAATTTTTTTCTGCAACATTCATAAGACTATAAAAAATAACCATAATTCCTCTAGCGCAGTTATAAGCTTCGTTTGGCATTTGGTCTTCGACATTTTACAGCAGTAAATACTTTTGGTTGTTCCTTTTTATTTTTGCAAATTGTACCTATTTGGCTAAGTGTGTGATCTGGAATCAAGCTTTCGACTAAAGGAGAGCTCGTAGAAAAATTATACTCATTCAGCAAGTTGATCGCTCGAGCCACAAAGATGTTTGAATAATTCTGGTGATCCTGTTTTTATATAGCTCTTTGTTCAGAGGGACTACGAAAATCGCTTCTTTGGTTACAAAGCGCCAAATATATTTGGTTATAACATAAGTTTGTACAGTTTTTTTTCACAGAGAAAAAACAATAATTATAACAAAAATTTAATGAATGATGTCCTCTCCGTTACTGTTTACGGCCTCTTCCCATATCTCCACCAATTTGTTGATGCCGTCTCGCAAAAAATCGGCCGGTCTGCTGTCGAAGAAGTTGTTGAGCCATCGAAGGAGGCACCCCTCATTTGGGAGTATGGTGGATGCTGAATAACCGCAGATTTCAGATTTTGGAGTGCTGTTTTGATGACTTGGGAAACATGTAGTCTGGCGTTGTCGTGGAGAAAGATGACTTGGCCTTATCTTTCAGGTCTTTTCAGCCGAATAACCTCATCTATATGGTTCAGTTGGGATATATGAGCTCCTTGTTGACAATGGCGTTTTGTTCGAGCATTTTGCAGCGCACCATGTCTTCCCAGTATCACCAACCGCAGATCATGGCCGTTTTTGGGAGAAGGTCTTGCTTTACTACCGGTTATTTGCTTCACATTGACGTACAGACACCATTTCTCATCTCCGGTTATTATTCGATACAAAAGTCGTGTTGCTCAACAAAAAAGCAGATGTCGAAAATGCTGATATTTTCCTCCTGAATATTCCAGCTCTTTTGAATGAATTTATACACTTTGTTGAACAACAGAATAAATCGGTTTAAAATAACTATAGACGCAAAACTCTACTTAACTTATGTTACAACCCAGTAGATGATACTACAAGTATGTCATCAAAAAGATCTCTTATTGCAACCAGCTTGCCGATTAAATTCGTTCAGATAATGTATATTTGTTGTCAAAGCTTAAACAAAGCAAAAGAAGTGACTCCAGTTCATTGTTAATAGGGAAAATCTCTAGATATGAACTATTATATCGTAATATATATTTATCATTTAGCCGAGCATTTCTTTTTTACACTAGCAAATATTAAAATAACACCTAGAAACTTTTGAATTTTTTCTCTTTTTTGTTGGAATTCAGTTGAAAGCTACTCCATATTTTGATTAGTATCCCGTAATTAGACTGATTAGTGAACCAAAAAAAAATTAAATTTCGAAAATCACGTGGATCGTTTGTGTTTCTTGTTACTCTCTTTACGCCAGAAAGGTTTCAAAATATTGTGCGATCGTGCGAGCAGAAGAAGAGGAAGCACCTTTTTTCATTTACTTACTTTGCCTTTGCCGAAATAATAGTTGCAGACGTTTGTGAAACCTCTTCAGATTCATTTGACCCATTCAATCATTTGAATCACCCTCCTGCTCAGTGCCAGCATTTCCATTTTTTACTTCCAAAGCGCTCTCAATGTCATTTAAATTAAATTCTTCATATTGTAACATCATCATAATTTTTTTTACATCTCTTGTTGTATAAAATTGGTTGAAATTAACAAAAGGAATTGCTAAAATGCAATACATTATAATCCATAAATATTACATATAACTAAATCAAGAAAATATATTTCATTGCATAATGTTAAAAGCTCAAAACTTAGTTACTTACTGCAAAAAAGTGACACTTTCACACGCGGTCAGCACAATATAAGAAGCCTAACTACAAATTATGAATGTGCTAAAACAGTTACTGGGTCCTTTGGCTTACTCAGCTTTTAGAAAATATCAAAGAAAGAAATGCCATTAAGAGAATATAGAGCAACTGCATCAGCGAATTATTATTCAGCAGCTTCCTTCTTATCTTCTATCTGATTCGTTCATTCAGCTATTTGTGCTCGAAAGTCATATGGAAATAGCTTTGCTAAACATTTGGTACAGGTTTTGAACGTTCGGGTGGTAATTGATACTTCAGCTTGAAGTCGGCGTGGCTGTGAAAAGTGAACTTTATCCAGTAGGTTTCCATGGTTTCCTTAACTCTCATCAGGTGTAATTTCTTCACCATCGTCAGTTTCTGTAGCAGTTACTGGTTATCCAGTGCCATCTGGGTCTCGAAAGCCGTAAGCTGAGTTCGATTTTTAAGCACAAGATGTTCAACAGCGTCTAAATTTATTTAATTTTTTTGGCATTCGAAATTTAGATTGGGATTATTTATACAACCCAAAGAAAAGGTATTGGTCCTAATTTCATAAAATCATTACATTTAGTGAGAGCGAAAAAAGAGTGATTTTTAAAAAATGTAGTAAAGAAATCTTCTCCATTTAATGCTTTAGAATATCAAGTATGTTTAACTATAAATCTTTAATTTTTTTTCTAACGGAAATTTTGCGTTCTCGTCGAGATATGCGCTATACCGCGGAGGTCCGAAAAAACAATCTCCATTTTGCTGAAAAAGAAAAGCAAATCTGAAATAATTCTGAATATGAAAAAAATTTAAAGGCGATCGGATAATTAGTTTTTGTGTTACATTGGCATCAAATTTCGATAACTCTGAAATCTCCGAAACTATTACAGTGACACATCTGGGGTCAAAGTATGTTTTTTTTCGACCGTATAAGCTATATAAGAATATCGGTTTTTGAAAAATGTCACACTTGTTGAGTTCCTTAACGGCTCAAAGTTAAATTTTAAAATTTTTTACTATTCTTCTTCTTGTAAAATGACTCGCGGCGCTCATTTTTCAACTCACATATGCAGTCTTACACAATTTTCTAACGAAGTGATGAAATTTTACCGAGGCTGTAAAATTCATTGAATTCATCTACAATTTCCAAGCACATGATAACTTTGATCAATAAGTTTTTGCGTTCATTATGAAATAGACACTAAAAACTGCATTTTGGATAATTTGCATTGGCATTAATTCGTTAAAAAAAATACCGAAATGTGAATTGAATTGCGATTTTGTCGAAATTAGTTAAAAATTTTGTTTGTATTTTTGTTATCAATTTCGCTTTTATTTGCAGCTGTATCTCATTTTTTTATTTCAAATTTTAATCCGTCAGAGTAGTTTCAAATCTATACAAAAATAAGTCAATGATTTTTCGGTGCAAGCAATTTTTTCTATTTACCATAAAGAATGTCCTTTTTCATTATATTCATTGAAAAAGTGCAATAGCAGAATTCTCATTTTGATAAGGAAACGTACAATAAATTACATTCCACATTCCGATTGATTGACACTAATGCTCCATTTTTCTTGCTGCTCAAAAACTCTTTTACTCAATTTCTCATTCTTAAAAATCTTTGTCTGTCTCTTTTTTCTCGCTTCTAGCCGCTGATATAACATCTTCTGCAACAACTATACACACCGTAGCATCGGCGAGTATCTATGCGAAGGCACTAAAAATGCATTGGAAGCACATTTGGACCGGTCTGATGGCAACAATAACAACAATTCCAACATCATTTAACAGAAAGCAAAGGCGAAGGCAACCGGTAGTGGAGTCATCGCACCGATATGTCAAAAGGATAAGTGAAGCAAACGTTGGTGATGGGGCAGAAGGTATACTAACAGCGACAGCTCGCTTAGATATTTTCGCAATGGCGGAAAGGAGTGTTGTTGTTGCCATTTTTACTGTTATTTTCGCGGGCGTCTTTGTGTGCACACTGACACTCCATTTTATAAGCTGTCAAAGGGTGCAAAAGAAATCAGTTGCATCGGCAATGCAGGAACAAGCAAAGATGACGGCAGGGAAGAGCGCTACCAACTCGATAGCTGCATTTACTGCCAACGTGTTGCTGTCAAAAGTAACAGCAACAGCATTGGCAGTCAAATGGACATTGAAAGGACGAAAATCCTTTCATAATTGCATTGGAAAAAATTTAAAATCATTGAGTGTACGATTTGTGGGATTTCTGCGAGCGCTAGGTTGGTTGAAGTTTATGCAGTGCAGTGCGACAGTATCGGCGAATCCATTACAAAAATTGGCGAGACAACAACAACAGATATCAAGGCAGCAGCAGAAACAGCAGGGAAGCACTGAAATATTGCGCAATGATGCGCACCGCTCGCCGAGCAACGCAAATCAACAGCTGTCGTTGACGGCTGGCAGCAGGAGCCCTTCAACTCCATTACCAACAACACTGGATGCTGCATTGACATTTGACACGCCGAGTGTTGGTGCTGCCATGCATGATGCAATCGCCGTCTGTAACAACACCAACACCAACAACACTCGCAATCGCTGCGATAGTGGTCGCTACAACAATAATAATAACAACAGTAACCGCAGCAGAAACAACAACGAAAACAGCACAGGTGGCGGCAACAGCAATCAAGCAATTGCCAATTTCACTAAGGACACGTCAAAGGATCAAACATTATTGATGATGATTGCACAACGTTTCGATTGTCAACATGTTGACGATTTTCTTACACGCGCACTTGGTAAGTGGCAACAGCTAAAAGTATTGCTACTTTCAATGAACGACAACAACAAAAACAACAACAAGGTGTTGGCGAAAGCAAAGATGTTTTTGTTTAATTGGCAAGAAAACGGCGTGACACCACATCATCCTTGCCGGCGCTATTGCTGATGCCGGCCAATGAAAGAGGAATGTGAAAAGGCACAGTTTCGAGAGGAACACAAATTAAATAATTAAATAAATAAATAGTATAAACTAATGATGTATGACTAAATAAAAAAAATACCATAAGCGCCACGTTAAATTTGCAAGAAATATACAAAAAATAACAAAAAAACAGTAACAAAAAATCTACAATTAAAAAATTAAAAAAAAAAAAAAACATTCATAGATATTTAAGAAATATGTAAGAAAATGTTGCTTTTATTAATTTTCAATAGTGGCAACAGTTATGTATATGTATGTAAATATGTAGTTGAACTACAATTTAAACAAAGTTGTGAAAATATTATTAATAACTTAAAAAGCTATTGAATTGGATGGAGTGGCAAAAAGAGTAATTTAAATATATGAAATTGAAAGAACTGTGTGACACTAAAATTAAATTATAAAAATAAACAATAATATTATATATGTATATGTAGAACTGATCAAACACTGTAAAAACACTGCGCAACCTTATGTTAAAATTTTTCTTAGTCGAATCAACTCATTACCGTATCCCGAGCTGCCTTTTCGATTTCAGTTTTTCAACAAAAGATGTGCCATTGAAAAGGCGATTCGAACTTCCAAGGTCGCTAAAAATGGACTGAACCAAATGAGACATTCGTTCAACTTTGACTAGTCGACAATTGAATGGAGCAATCCTTTCTTTTTTTTTTTTTTGATATGACAGTTTTACAATTTACTGAAAAACCTTTCATTTATTTGATTGCTCTTAATTTTTGTGTGTGCTTACTCGATTACAGTCGAGTTAACACGCATTCTTTTCTTTTCTAAACCGTTCGGGAGGCTAACTCCAAGAAGTCTCCTCCTGAATTTTGCAACGGAGTGAAGGTCTTCTTCTTTCTCTGCTTTCACTAGCGGCTACTGCGGCGAAAACTTTCATAGCTGAAGTATGATTGCCCAAAAGGAGGACATGACTTATTTGAACTATGCCAATGTTCCCGTATATCATGTTCCATCGTCTGTGGTATTTGCCACCGCTAATGTGCAAAGGATTACAAATCTTCCGTTATCTGAAACCTCTTTTAGTTTTGAACGGTGTCTAAGTTTTGGGAATAGGAGGGAGAATACGATTATGAGTACGGAAGATGATGATAAATGGTGTCTATAAATGTATTCATCGAGCCCGTTAAGAACGACCTTTCCTCCTCTTATATCATGAATTTATTCGGTGGAGCTCGGTGTGAGCTCCGGGAGTGACATTAGAGATTATCTATCCAATCTATCTGATATCAAATTCGTTATTATGACCGTTCTTATCCCATCGATCGAAAACCTAATTACGAAGGTCTCAACCATCAAAAATTGTGCCTCCCATTCTAGGCTGTGGCTCCTTTTTCATTGTATTTAGGGCTAGTAGGTATTGATTTTGTACATACGACAGTAACGTCATCAACGGAAGATTTTGGTCGACCTACTCGGGGTTCGTCCTCTGCGGAAAAATGTCCGATTTGAAATGTTTGGAACCATTAAAAATAGTCATTACAGACGGTAAAATTGTTCCATATGCAATTTTTTATTCTTTGATTATTCGTTTTGGCTGAAAATTAGACCGAAACCCGAAAAGATTGAAATGAAGAATTTCATTTTGCGTTGGTAGTGAAGTTTAGTGAAATCTTGAAATTTCGTCTAACCTATCCTCAACTATCTTGCGTTTCGTCGCCTTCTTATCAGCCGATTGTTCTAAAAGTTGAATGAAAGACTGGTAATTGGAATGCCACCAACTGACCGAACTTTTGTTAATTAATTGTATTTATATAACGAACTGATTGCTTCAAGACAAACGCCCACTCGCAGCCGTACCCCTGGTGAACGGACGCTGCCCAAAGAATCTAGTGAGCCCTTAGACCAGTTATATAGATATAGCTCTCACATGAGGGTTGCTATAGTTTCTAAGGTGTATATAATGACTGTACAGAGGAATCAACGGAAATGGCTAGAAAGTGAAGCTGTAGTAAAACTGGCAGTGTCAACGAGGATCGAAAACCGAATTAAGCATGTACATATAGAGTAAATTTTTTCGATTAATTACTCAAGTGTACACCCGGCAGTAAAAAATTAAACTTTGGCCAGCAAAAAATTATCATGTACATACAAACATTTATAAATATGTGAAGCTAACCAAAAGTATGTTTTATTGAAATAAATCAGTTTCAGACCGACTTCCCAGACCGTCACAAAAAGTAAAACTTTTTGATAGAATAGAGAAAATATTTATTTCCATCAACGATGTTAATTGAAGCTTAGGATATCAGGGTATTGAGAATGCGAGTAGAAGGATTATTTTTTTTAATGATCTAGACGCTAAACGCCGTGTTCTCTTCAATGTGTTAAAATTTATTTTGTCTGATAACGATGCTAGCATACGAGTATTGTCTAATATTATATAATACATTAGCATTATATAACATAAATATTATGAATATCTTAACTCAAAATTATCGAGATTATAAGTTCTTTTGAATTTTTTTTTTTTGTAAAAATATTTATGTATGTTGAGCCATTCAAAAAAGAGTTTTCAGAATATTTATTTAAATTTCATATAGGCGCTGCTTTACTCAAAATTTACTCAAGTCCAAACATTGAAAAAAGAAGGCTGCATCGTAACGATAAATTTCACGTTAATCAAAAAAAAATTCTATTTTGTTTAATCATTTGAAAATGTATCGTTAAAGCAGTTATCAAAATAAATTTTACTTCGTTTTTTCCCCCGAAATGAAATGCTGTCGTTAATGTTAAATTGTTAACAGCTAAAGTTAAGTCGTTAACAGCTACCACTTCAATTTTAACGTTTAACATTATCTGTTAACCGTTTAACATTATATGTCAAAGATTTAACATTATCTGTTGAAGATTTAACATTAACGATTTAACGGATTGAAATTATTTGATTATCATGATACGATAAATATGCAGCTTTGATTACAAGTTAAATATGTACAAAAAACTAAGATATAGCTTTTAAGAACGATAAAAGTATTAAGTATTTTTAAAAGAAAACACTAGTATAAACAGAAAAATAGTATAATTTCTAATTGGTTAATGATTTACAAAGGTATTAATAAAGACCTTTTCAGAAATATTTAACATAGTTTTTAAGTGTTTAAGTAAAGTGTTTGTTGATGTAATATTTTTAAATATGTATTTTAATTTTTTTTATACACATTTTCGTTTTCGCATTTTTATTTTTTATGTCTTAACATTTGCTGTTTATATTTTGTGAAAAAACAACGCGACTCTGTAAAATAGTAAAATTTGACAAATTTAACTGGTGTCCTTATTAAGTTGTCACAGGGCAGGACTCTTATGCAAAAGCAATTTTTATTTAATGTTGCCCAAAACTATGCTATAAAGTTTTGCAAGCAGAACGGAATTGACATTCTACTGAATGTCTAGCAAGGATAGCAACCGTAAAGCAAATGCACACACCAAATCTTTTTTGCTGTAAAGAGAAATTCGGGCACAGACTGCATGCAAGGAAAAAATTCAAAGAACTCGGCTTTTTAAATAGGGAAATGAACCAAAATTTATTAAAGCTCATATAAAATAAACGTAAATTATTAAAAATGTGATTATTATGAATAGTTTTTGTTTTTTACTTAAAATAACTTTTTTGACATTTGGAATTTCGACTTTTTTAGTTTACGTATACAATGGTAATTAAGTTGTACATAAGTATATGAAATAAATAATTATGGCAGGAGGCACGTGCATGATGCATATATAAAACGCTCAAAAAACAGTTAAAATTGTAAATATGAAAAGCAAGCTGGAAAGTATTCTCCAAAGTTGTGAAAAATTAACGAAAATGCTCAAAGAGTTGTAGGTACCACTGTGTTTTGCTGCTTACGGAAAAATGGTGGTTATGTTTAGTGGAAAGAATTTAAATTCGTATAGAATTAAGAACAAAAAATAAAATTTTGCTAATGTATAGCTGTAATAGTTAGTTTGTAGAGGAAGAACAAGCAAAAAATGCTTAACGTAAATCAAAATATAGAACAAGTTGTAGCAAAATTTACATACATACATACATATAATATACGTACGATACATTTATTTCGCCTAAACAAAATTAACACTTTTATTTAAGCGTAGAATTTCTACCTGGTTTAATACTCGTTTTTCGAACCAATTTTCGGCTTGGCTTCAAAATTAACCGTAATTTTCAACACTTCTTTTGAAATTACAAGATCCAACGGTAGATAGTTCCTTCAATTGGAGTACACAAATGAATATAAATACACACACATCGTTACATACATGTATACATATTAAAATCCACAAAATAACAGCGTATTTATATACATATGTATATAAAATATGTATACAATAGCTTAAAAATAGCTAAAAAAAATCTTTGTATTACGGATAAAAAAAATCAAAATTAATATGTTTAGAATGCTTAGGTTAATAACAATACATTATATGAAGTAAATAAACCATAAATTAAAATGTAAATGTTATAAAATATCTTGCTCAATAAGTATTGAAAATATCTGAAAATATAATGTAATATGTATCACTCGTAACCGTCGGTTTTGTCGGTCTAGATGGTACAAAAATTTGTTTAAATATAGTTTTATTTAATTAACATGTTTTTTTTTTAATTGCGCTCATTTCTTGAATCTAGTTCAAAGTGTTTAGGAAGAACAGTAAAAACTTAATGCATGATCTGAAGCGCATAAAAATTATAATTAAAGATTAATATAGAGTATGATTAACAAAAATAAATTAAAAATCAATATAGAGTATGATTAATAAAAATAAATAATATACTCATCAAATAAATAGCCGCATAAGATATTCATATCCTCAAAAAAATATGGTTTGTATATCTCTGTACAAACTTGTAGTATAACTTTGTTAGACACATACATAAATACTCAAGCAAAGGTAAATAATGATTTAATTGTTAAGCAAATTTCGATGTACGATCACAGACTTTGCATGTACATACATACATACATACATAAATACATACTTACATACCTACATTTAATCTACAGCTAATGTGCATGCATGTACGAGTATGTAGGAAGGATGTGGCATTAGTATCATACTGCAAAGTATAATTATAATAAGAGAAATAAAAAAAAAAACAAATAAATAAAATATAAAGCATATGAGTAAGTTTGTGTTTGTTTTAAGTATAAAAATATGAAAAATAAATAAATATGTGAATAAAAGTATAATAGTATTATTTTGGGTAACATTTTGCTTGGTCAAACGAAGTTTTTTTTTATCATTGATATAACTACTGGAGGCGATCGCAATAGGCGAGTGATTGGCTTTGCATACTGTCACTCGGAAACTTTTTTCGGGCAACAATTTTCAAGTGCAAATGTTTGACATTTTCACTGTAAACAAAATATAAAAATTTTAAGATTGCTTTTACGTGTAAATAAAATTGTTAATTGATTTAAGTATTTTGCTGTGCCCCGTAAACATTTCTTATTCAGATTTTGGCATCTACGTTTTCTACTCACGTCTGTCAAAAAATCGTATTGCTTGCTCCAAGTCATTCCATCAAAGCAGTCAATGCAGTAAGTCGTGCTCTGAGTTGCTCTCTTTCTGCCTAGAACATAGGAGAAAGAGGTTTTGACACTGCCTTATGCTGCGAATACCCATCTTACATACCTTCCGTCCATAGTAACCTAGTTGTCACCTATGCCGTTACTGACGGTTGTCCCGCAGAAGCAAGCGGCGATTTGAGTTTCTCCGAAAACTTTTTAGCTCATTACTCACTGTTGTTCAAGGTTGCCAATATAGTCATGTTTAAAGTCATATTAAATAATCGCAGATAGTGAGTAGTTTTTTTTCAAAATAAATGAAAACTAAATTTTTAATTAATTATTTTTTACCAAATACATCATGTATGCTTCATTGGCATTTATATTCAAACATATAAATTATGAAATTCGTTGTCGAAAATTATAAATTTGTTTAATTGTATACTATAACATTGGCAGCAGGCAACATTTCGTCGGTGTTAGCAACGGCGATAACTCGTGTAAGCATATCGCTCTTCCAGTCGGATGTTATGGATGGAAGGTATGTAAGATTGGTAGTTGCAGCATTAGCACAGCGTTGTATTTTGGAATTTGGAGAAAAAGACGAAGAATGAAACAAGAATTGGATATGTTCGTAAAATTTATATAAATATTGAAAATTATTAATTAATTAAAAGAAATATATATATATATATGTATGCAAACATTATTTATGTAATTGGCGCTTTGTAATTGCCCAGCTCCTCCTGCAATTTGTCATGTGTCATTGATGTTTTTACAATTATTTTAAGCTGCCTTAGAAAGGCTTATGGACTTCATGTCGAACACTCCCTTGGGGGTTTGACATTCCGTACCACATGACGACCGCAATTAGGACAAGTTAATTTTTTAATTTGAATTAATTTTCTATAATTTTGGATAATGATCGCGCCGGAACTAGAACCAAGTGACAGTCTGGTCTATTCTGAACCCGACCAATCACATAAGGTCTCGGTTACACTGGCCTTTTTCGTAAAACAGCTTCAGATTTATTATAATTTCTCATATATATAGAAAAATTAGAAGAAAGTTCTTTATTTATTCAAAGTAATTAGTTTTTGATGCAGAAGTGAGACTCGAAGGAATCAATGCTGAATTAAAGTGTATCTCAAAGGGTCATGCCATGGTTTTGCATGAATATAATAAAATGGTTTAAAGTGTCAAGATTACTTTAAAGGGATGATAGCACACTTACCAATTTAGTTAAAAAAAAAAATTCCAAGTATCTTGCTACGGCTGTGGAGCGTTGGCAGATTACTGAGCCGTAAATTACTTTTTTAAAGAGGGAGATCCTTATTCGCATCATAGTAAAAAGTTCTTAAAACCTATAGCGGGAATTGTTTTTGTACAGATTCCAATTTATTACTATACAATTGATAGTGGATTCCATACCACTGTGTCTAATAGCGAAATGTATGTATTTAATGAAAGCAGACCCTTCTTCTGCCTTATTAATAAAAAAATTTATATTCAGGCGTGTTATAGAAACCGACACAGAATTGCTAATTTATTGGAATTGAAAGTGGTTTTCTGGATAAGAGTAATCCGCTGTAGTTGCCAGAGTCGATGTAATTGCAATTCTACTTTTAAAATTTCTGATACAAAATTACAATACATGCAGTATACAGACTCAGAAACCAATATCATCTTAAGAAAGCAACCTTTGTAATAGTGCTGGATATTATTGAAGACAAGTTAGATATACTATCTATCCCACCCGTGCTTTAGCTTGCAGTTACGCTGCGGTTTTTGGCAGAAGGCTCCCAATAACGGTCTGTGGGACTCAAATATCTCCTTAGCATGACCACTGAGACTGTGGGGAGGTTATAACAGAAATGCTAAAGGCTTTTCAACGTTTAATGTGCCCACGCTGGATAATTTTAGGTATGAATGACAATGACAAATGGAGAGCTCGTGAGCATTTTTACATCAAATATCCTATTCCAGGCATTGCGGGTTGTAAATTCCATTGTTCATGACTTATGATTTCATTAAATCTCCGCTTGCAAAGAAATTTGCACACAATTCTGACAACGAATAACTGCTCGGTTTAATTCTGAAATTTAAACCGATAAATCGGTTTCTGTAACACCGAAAATCGACAAAAAATCTGTATGATAATTAAACCTATATGCAAATCAATAAGCCCTTCAACAGAATTTTGTCTGTTTCAATTCTGATTCCGACAAAAATTTGTTTCCGTAGTGGTATTATCTCTAAAATCTAAAAACATTGGTTACATATAAAAATATTTTAATGGTACATTTACAGAAATTAAATGTAGAAGATAACTATCACAAAAAATATAATAATTTACACTTTGAAACCGCTAAAGTGATTTTAGGCCGAGCTCCTTTCCATTTTGTGGTTTTGCGTCTTGATGTTTTTCCAACAAATATAGGGACCTACAGTTTATACTATGCCGCCTCCGAACGACTGATGGCTTTTTATGAGGAGCTTTATTTCATATCAGAAATACACTCGGATGGGTTGACATTCCCTGCCGAGGGGCGACCGCAATTAGAAAATTTGAGTTACTTTTTTTATTAAATTAATTTTCTATAACTTTCTCAGTTGTTAGTACGACATCAAGATTTGACTTCGAACCTTCCGAAGTGGCAGTACGCCACTCGGCAAAGTAATATTTATATGTGAGAAGGTTTCTAGCTGTGAACTATAAAGTTACGCAGTTGCATTTTAAAACTAATTAGCCCAATAATTGGCTATTTTGTAGAAACTATTGTTAAGGGGAAAGTAAAATAACTAGAACAAATTTCATAAATTTTGGCTCGTAGTTGGATAAGATCATTACATTCAAAATATATATCCTTCTAAAAGCAGAAAAGTCTTTTTATATATAGCATTGCCACAAAAAACAGTTGATTTAAGAAATAATAGAGCATGCAAAATAAAGAAAGATTAATTATTTAAAAAAATGGATTTTATTTTATTAAAAATATAATTTTATATGTAGCCAGGTTGCCCAAAAATCGGCGACAAACATGTGTTACTCATGTATGAATTATGCACTTCCTGGCGGGTATCGCATGTTTTTGCCATAACCACTTAGTCCTTATTTTGCAATACTTTCCCACAGATATATTTTCCCCCTAATAAATTTATTGTATGTTGATATTAAAAAATTTACCTTATATCCAAGAAATTACTTGATATTTTGCAAGATAATTTATCGGAGAAAACATTAATTCCAATTTTTATAATTAAATTCGGGAATATAATTGTATGAAAACAACATCCTGAGAGTAATCTCACGTAAAATACAATAGATTAGTTTCTTAAACAGACGTAACAAAAAGTCAAGTATATTTTCTAGCTTTTTTTAAACTATTTTTAGAATTTATTGCCGTACATTAATTCAAAATAGTCGTTTTTTTGCATGCAATTGCAATATTCGTTTATTTAATAAATGGGAAAACGAACATTTTCACTAAAAATTTGGATGTATAAATAACTTTAAGACAAATTTCGATATTTTGTTTCTTTTTTGCGCTGAATTAATTTCCAAGTTATGTTATTTATTTTCCATATGTACTTTTCACACAATTTTTCACTTAGACTATATTCAATTCATATTTGTTATAGCTTTAATAGGGATTTTTTTGTGTTTTTTTTTTTTTTTTCATTTCATAATTAGTTACTACTAAAACAATACACAATTTAGGCATGCAAAATTTTCATTACAATCAATTTTTTAAATACTACAAACTATTTTAAGATTTAATTTTCATATAAATTTTTTTTTACGGTGCTGTAATATTCGATTTTCAGACTAATAAAAAATTACAAAATATTAAACACAAGAAGAAGTGTATGAAATATATAATTTATGTAACATAAGACATCTTCAATTACGTCACAACAGCGCAGCTGTATACATTTTCAGCGAAATGAACATTAGCAAGCGTTGGGCGAGTTTGATTCATAGCTTTCAATTTGTTCTGCCTACAAATACGAGTATAAGTCAAGAAGAATCCTTTCACTGATGTTTATATGAGATGGAAAGGATGCTTAAATGTCATGCAGTTAAGTTTATGGTTGAAAAGTCAACGAATCAATTGCACTCGTACGCCATTTCGCATTGGATCTGTATATTTTCCTCACCACACATTCGAAATATCTTTGATGTGGAGCGTATTTTGTTTGTTTTGTTAGTGATATTTGCCTCTTCTTTGGACGTTAAGGTATTTTAAAGCCGTCTCTGTTTTAATGGTTCATAATGTAGTGTTTGATAAATAATGTAAACAAACTTATAGAATACTACAAATCAGCATGCAAACTTATCTCTATATAAATTAGGTTATAAATTTCGCATATAAAATAAATACAATACTCCTATTATAAACTATGTCTAAGCTATAGTAAGACATTCGTGGAGATTTTCATATGCTTTTTCTATGTTGATCATTTTTTTTATTTTTGTGACATTTCGGAATTCAAAATTCCTCTACCACTGATTCGAAGGACGTCGTTCGGCACCTGGTGCAGCTGAGCCTGAAAAACGTGGTGATACATTGCTTGATGATGGTGGTCCTGGAACAACCGGCATTCCAGTAGTATTGGCATCATTACTTTGCAAAGTGCTGATAGCCAAGAGCAGCTTACGACGTGCACCAAAAGCACTTATACCCAATTCCAATAAATTATCTTCATTCAAAGTTGTAAACATTTCGAGGTCGATTTCGTTTGTTATAAATGTTTCTAAAACAAATGGTAATGGAGCAATTATAAATGAAAGTAATATATTTTTAGCGGATTTTTTAAAGTATGTGGAAATACTTTGTATTATTTAAAATTTATTAGGAGAAATTTCTCTATTAAATATCTATTAGCTACAGAGGAAGTGAACTTAAGACTACTACAGTCTGGTAATTTTGGTTCGGTTTCGGGCTCTCGAAGGTACTATAAATTACATATACAGTGTAAAAAATTAAGAACGAAATTTGAAATATTGACGAAGTTGTAAGACCTATATATATACTAGCGTCTCGTAGTAGTATGCGCTGAGCCACAAGGTAGCTGCAAACGCATTTTTCTCGATTGGGCTGAAATTTGAAAATGTTATTCTATTCCCGAATAACTCTCGCAGGTACAATATTATCATAAAATATTTTTTTATCGCTAGCTTTCCATTTTACAGCCAAATTTCTATTTAAAAACTGTCACTTTTTTTCGAAGTCAACAATATATTTTTTTTTAAATAATTGGTTTAAACCGGAATGACAAACTCACAAAAGATAATCTTTCTGATTTTTCTATTTCAGATTCTTTAAGCGACCAACTAACGGGGCAAGCCATCTGCTTTTTTGTTTTGAATGCTCAGTTCAGTGCTACGAAACAAAAAATTTTAACAAAAAAGGAGAATTTTTTACTAAATGAAAATGAAAATGATTAAATTCTATATAGTAAATAGTCCCAAAAAAGCATTAAAAAAATACAATTAACCAGACCACTACCTTAAAGGATTTTGGCAAACGCAATTTTTTTTCTTGCTCATAGGGTACCTTTGGGTCTAAGAAATGATATTACATTTGCTGTAAAGTGAAAAACAATATTTCAAATAGATGATATTTTAATTATGCTGCAGCCCCTCAGAGCGTGCGCTAAGTACAATGAAAACTTTAACTTAAATTTTTCTCAAAATCATATTTTTCGAGCCGGGAGGACAGATTGCTGAGAGGACAGATCGGACCCTATTGCAACGCTTTATCTGAAATTTTGATGTTTACTTCACATGCTTTGCAAGAACGTAGCCGTTTTCCGATTAAATGTAAACTTTTTTTAACAGTTTTATGCGAATTTTTAGTCGAAAATCAATCCTTTTTAAAAAAGGTATGCCGCTTTCGCAAAAGTTAGTGAAAAAAAACCGTACGTATTTTCAAGGACCATATTTTGTAGATCTTAAAACTTGTCGCTGTTCTGTTCAAGGCCCCATCCTTTAGAAGAAATCGGACTCCTTTTAAATTAACAAGGATTAAATAATGGACTTTATAGCCGCCGTTTTGTAACAAAATACAATTAAAGAATATTTTTTTATACTTCATTATATGTTCAATGAAATGGTTTAATAGAAATTCTATTCCTTCTAAATATTTAAAAATGAATCTCTTTTTCGGAAATTGTATGAGAATAAATTTTCGATCGTGTCTTGCAATACGTAATATGAACTAAAGTTATATTTAACATTTTCCATAATGTAAACTCGAATTAGTTTTCTTTTTAACATTGAACACCACAAAATTCGATTGAAATTATCGCCAGATTATTTGAAAATACACTAACATATGGACACTGCTGATTTATTTTCAACAAAACTTACTTATGTAGTGCTCCAAGCCAAGGCTTGTCAATAGCGTATGTATGTCTTTATGTTGGGACAATTTGAGTCGTCGATTTGTGGGTGTGGCATCCAGCAAACCCACCGTCACACCCAAGCCATACGGGGATATTGGTGCTGCGTTTCCACCAGCGCAATTATTAAAGTTCATACCATGCACGTTGCGCGGCCATATACTATCATCAGCACTTTCTAAAACGCCCGGTGAGGTGCGACTCAAAGCCATGCCAGCCCAATTTGGTGTGGGTGTGCGTAATTCACCACTTACCGGTGGACGCTCCATAGCTTTGAAGCCCATGGCACGCTTCATATCAAAGTCGAAATGCTGCAAAGGAACCCATTAATATATATATAAACAGATAAACTTTTATACAAAAGATATTGGATTACTTTCAAATCATAATGCAAATTGCGATAACTTTCAGCACTGCCCGGCATTAACGGGCCGCCAAGCAGGCTTGAGGCATTTAAACCCAACAGCACACCGTCGCTGGAACGACGACCTACACGACCATAACTAGCTTCACTGTTGTAGGTCGAGTCAGGCGAGTACTGACCACGTGTGCCCATCTCGCCATTTGGCACCATCAACCGATTACCACCACCTCCGCCACCGTTAGCTCTGCCGCAGTATGGTGGATAGACCTGTTCCAATGAGTTTGTACTGCTACTGAAACTCTGATATCCGCTGGTGTTATGGCAACTATTTCTTGGCGATATCTGTTGCTGATGGCTTAATGCGGTTTGCTGAGCGCGTTGATGGGCACCGTTCGGTGGAGTAATTTGTAAGTAGTTGTTGTTTTGGTTCGGTTGCGGCCGAGTGAAACTGTTGTTGTGCATTGTCACATATTTTTGCGTGGGCGGACAGACATTAGGCGGTGAACAAGCACCGAATCCTGGTGGATATGGTTTCATGTTGTTGTTGCCATCACTTTGGTTATTGTTCAACATTAAATTGTTGTTATTGTTGTTGTTATTTATATGACCACTGCTACCATATGGTGACATCTGCAGCTGTGTCGTTAGCAAGCCGGGCGACTTTGGGCTGTCAGGAAAACCGGACAGCAGCGCCGTGAGCATAATAAGATGGTCAGTATTTAGGTCTTTATCTCTCGGTGCCAAATAATTATCGGGTATTGTCGCTTTTATGAGCGGCGTGCTGAGACGCAAAATCTCCTGACGCGCTTCGTAAATTTTGTCTACCATGAAGGGGTGTAATTATTGTTAATGAAAAGTTCATAAGCACAATCAATTTAACATATTTACCAATAAATTTCTCGACTCCCTTTACAACAATCGCTAAAGTGCTTTGTCTTTGCTTTTGACGCAACGAAACAAAAACACCATATTTGGTGCTGAGTGCTATTATTTCAGTGGCATTGTTTTGGTTGTCCGGAAAATCAAATATCAGAGCTACCGGAAGATTACCCTTAACAGCAAAGGAAATTAATTTAGTTTAATAATAATTTTTAACAGTGATTTCAAAAGTTCATACAAGTAATTGTTGTCGTGCCTTGTATACCCCGTCTATAGTCCCGGTAATGGTCACTTGAGATTTTTTCAATGGTTTAACATTCAAGTCCGAGAGATCAGGAAAAATTATCTAAAGTGAAGAAATACAGATATTTTCCAATTCCTCTGAACCAAAAAAATGCTCACCTTAGTCTTTGTACGCTCCATGATACCAAGCAAATTGGAGTTACTTTTGCCCTTAACAATTTCATGATGCTGAGGTGAAATCTCCAATTGCATTTGCACCAAAATTTGATTCTGTGAAAAAGACAAATTTATTATTATTTTCAAAGCCACAATGGAAAATAAAATACAATCCTTCTTAACGATTCAACTCACAGCAATATTCTCGCAAGAGAAATTAATTAATAGCTGCGTTGCATCTTGTACTTTACTGGCTTCCTTCTCAGAGCCCTTGACAAGCACCAACGAAGAATGTAGCTTAGGCCGAGATGAAAATATTACCTTTATGGAAAAAATTGTTGGTGAAAAGTAAAGGGCAACATGTTTTTTCGCAAACCACTTACTTGTACATTATATTTTGCTTCGACCATCTTTACATACGGAGTTTCATGGTCGGGCTGTGGTCGCCCCGGAGCAAGGATGGGCAGCTCGAACGAAATTAATAATGGTGTTGAGAGACGAACCAAAGCGCGGGCACGTTCTACTCCCTCAAGTGAACCACATAAGGAGACTTGATTGGATTTCTCAGTTGGGTTTGAGCGATTGGAATCGGGGAAATGTATATGTGTTGCCGTGTCCTCCATAATGCGTTTGATATTATTACCACCTCGCCCAATAATATATGAGTGATCCGTGTAAGAGACGTCGATTTTCATAATAACGCGTGTACCCTAAAACATAAGGCAGAATTAAAACAAATACTGCATAAGTATTTAAGAAACTTGGCAAATAATTCCAAAAAATTACTCTTGAATCCAAATTTGCCAAAATACGTTCTTTGGCCTTTTGAACCTCCTCCACACGTCCCAGAATACGAACATGAGGATCTGAAAAGGGGTTTAAATAGGTTTATTTTCGCTTTTTATTGTTATTATTTCTTTCACTTACCCTTCTTACTTTTAGCGCCAATCTTTAGCCGACATGGCCAACTAATATAGGTTTCTGTCGATTTCATAACCTAAAAACAAAGAGTTTTAGTTACATAAGCGTAAATATGATAAAAATAAGTTTCTCATCTTACGCTTTCAAAGAAATACTCAGCGCCATTCATACCCTCAACGAGACTTTCCTCTGAAAGTGATAAATCGTATATACATATATGAAATATTTCTTATGGTTTTTGGGTTTCTATTTCTCTCACCTTTCAACATTTGCTCCAACTTCTGACGATCGACCTTAAAGCGTTCCGTATGCAAGTCATCCGGATTGGCCACACCTAATTTTAATGCAATTGCTCTTATGTCACTCCAGTCACTATCAGCAGAAGAAATTTCACTTGGCGCACCACTAGATGGCGCAACGTCCGAGTGAGGTGCACTCGAAGACGCCGGTGCCATGGCGCTTATAGGGCCGGTGGCATTTGCGTAGAGTAGCTTATTAATTTGTGCGCAAGATAACATCATGTTGCTATTATAGTTTTCTACGTTGTGCTCTTAAGATTTATTTCTAAAAACTGTTTTGCTTTAGAAAATCGATGTATTTTTCTGTGGTCCTTCGGAATTCGTAGAAATTATGCGTTCCAGAAATTGGTTATCAGCTTGGCAGTTATTAGATATGTAATGAGTGAAGTGATTTACTGAAAAGAGCGTTAATTTAATAGCAATTGCGAAGACAGTCTAAATCTCATATCCAGTAGAAGTAATAGCATATTGACAAGAATTATTGTATAAAGCACATAATTATTTTATAGAAGGGCAGGTTTGCTGATTAAAAGCGCACAGAAGACACCAAAAAATTAATCCCTAAAAAATCTGAAAATATATCAAATGCAATTTATTTAGTCCTAATAACTATGCTCTCAAACTGATGTACGTATACCAAGATAGTTTTGAGTCGGCGTCTAACAACAAAAGGAAACTCATTTCTATGCCTTAAATTTAAATAAATAACCAACAGCAAAAAACATGAAACAACAAAAAATTTCAAAAAAATGCTCTCTACACGACCGCCGGTCACGATCGTTAATTATTTTTAGTAGTCATCAGTTTCAGTATTCATATGTAAAATCCTCCCTAGTTGACTCTACAAGTCGATCATCATATCTGCCCTATTATAACTTTTTCGAACGATATATGGTCTTTTGCGTATTGACAACGTTGAATACCAAGTTGTACGATGGCACTGACCTAGTTCAGTGAATGAAGAGGCAGCGGCTACTCTGGCTAGGCCATATCGTCCAAATGGAATTCAAAGCTCTACAGAATTCAAAGTATTATATTAGATGATGCACCCGATGGTAGAAACAGAGAAAGAGGAAAACCTCCACACTGTTGAAAGGATGAGGTGGACAGCGATCTGGTTCCCCTTGGTACCAAACAGCGAAAATAAGGGATGAATTATTGAATATTAAAATTTAACCGCCAAAATAGATAGCTGTTGTACAACATGATGGCTAATTTTCACTGAATCCTGTTCTCAACGAACACAGCTAAAATAATGAACATAGAACATTATTAGACCTTTTCGGTGATCTGATGGGTAGTAGGAATTGTTACTGAATTGCGTTCGGTGCAGCAAAAACTCAGTAAAATTAGTAGGGAGAGAGCACGATTTTGACGTTCAGCGTGAAGAGAGAGAGAGAGAGAGAGGGAGAGAGAGATCGAGCAGAGGGAAAACAGCTGATTTGTAATCATATGGCTGCATTTTTGCCCATAAAACAAAAATTTATTTAAATTAAAATAATATATATGTATACTTTATTATACCAAAAGAAAGGCCCAAATGTAATTTTGTTAAATTAAATTTAATGACATCAACTATTCATTAAACGAACATGCGGTGGGACAGTGGAGTTAAGCATGACCTACTGTGTGAGTTTGCATTGAATATTTTGAAGTTAGGAAAATTGAATGCTTAAAATATTCTTAGACCATTCATTAATTTGCTAGAATAGAAAACAGTGACTACCAAATGAGCCGCAAAACATTTGGAAGAAATATTGTTGCTACGGTCACAGTGACGATAATGCATTCTTAAGCTTGGAAAAGGAACGACTGCGCAGAATATTAAATGTTAATCGCAAAGCTCTTCTCACTTGCACTTTTTTCAAAGGGAATTGAAAAATTTCTATAATAATATTCAGTTAAAGTTGCAGGCTTATATGGAAAAAAGACTTCCTAGCTAATTTTATATTTCATCTTTCTTGAAAATCTAAGCTACAAATTGTTGCAAGGAAAATTTTATATAAATTTATATGTTTTACAATAATTTTTGAATGCAATTATCAAATTCGAAATGCCATTTATTTACCAGTTTCATTAAAATATTAGGAATATTTAAGGCCAAAATTAATAATTGTCAAAACTAAATTATTGTACAACTTGCTGCCTAATTTTTACTGAATACAATTTTCTCCCTCAATTTCCATGGCTAATTCTTTCTGACATTTCTCACCAAACAGAGCTATAAGCAGTTTTATTTTGCCTATGCACCCCATATTTCATGCTTAAATTTTTATGTCTGCATAATGAAGCCATTACTAAATTTAAAGTACTGATGATGAAGATAATTTTCAATAAGTGCAGCAGAACGCTAATAAAAATATAAAATGTTCTGAATGCTTCATTGCTAACGGGATATTTTTTTTATACATTAAAAACAATATTGAGAAGCCAACGTTTGTTATTCTAAAAGAAAAATGCTTACAAAATTTAGAAATTTTTTATCGTTCGAAAATAATCAAAAGAAATGAAAAATAAATTGATTAAAATTATTCTTTTTTTAGGTACTTTTGAATAAAAGTTTAAAGATCACTTTGAATTGCATGATTAAGTTATTAGTTAGGTTATTTGTCAAAACGTTTCTCCTTCATTGCTGCTTGCCATCATTTTCGATACTCGTGCAATGAACGATAAAATTCCATTGTAAGGTTATTGACGGAAATCAATGTTGTTTTTTTATCTCACAAAAAGAACTTAAAATAAAACCAATTTGCGTAAATAGTCTTCATTTAAACACTTACCAAATTTTACACTTAAATAAATTAACAGCACCTTCAAAATGGTGGTTTCAGTGGCTAGCCATGTGTTGTTTTACACCAAAAATTTTAAGGCACAAAGTCAAATGGTTTAAGTTTTAATATAAATTTCGTGATTTTATCGCCTAAATAGGTTTGTCAGTTGAAAATTTGCTAAATAATTGAAATTAACTATTTAAATATTATAATTCTTCAACACTTAAATGTCTACTAAGATTGACAGCGAATACGGATACGCGGCCATAGTCCTATTGGAATTAAATTATCCTAATATATGTATGTACATGCAAAATATTTCCAGTCGTTGACCGCTAAGTTCTACACAGAACTTTCGCGCCTTAACATTTTAGCCATACCCCATATGAAATAATTTAGTGGAACTTAAAAAATGTTTAATTTTTAAAGAAATATTTCACTAACTTACTATTTTAAAAAGGTGTCTTTCTTTTAAATAAACTTTATAGCATAAAAATGCTGTAAATCCGGTAAATATACTTGCGCCAAACACAGCAGTAAGTCGTCTATAACCGTCGGCAGCCAAAAGTCCAAAGCGATTGCAAGCGTAACTAATTTCTTACTCCCGCATCTAGACAAAACTTCCCAGAAATTTTGCAGTTAAAGGTTTTTTCTGTAGAAAAACTCGACTGAGAAAAACAGTACGTAATATACGTCTATATTATTATGTATTTCATATGTGAAATAAACAAATTATTAAGACACTGTCAGAAAAATGTTTGGAAAATTATTTTTATTATATTCCCAGACAAGCTTGAGGAATATGCAAAAGCGACTGAGGGACGTATGGACAAACAAAATAATATAAAGTTCGAATAAGTAAGCGCAGCTTAGCTAATTATAACAACAATATTAATCTCAAGTATAAAGTAACTCAAAGGACCCGAATGATATGTATGTACATATGTAAGTGATCGCCAAATTGTTTTGCCAATGTTGGGTAGGAGAAGTAAAGTGCGGTCATTGAACTAGGCAGCGGTGTAGTGGTGAATATTGCTGTTTAAATCAATTAAAAATTAAACGAGCATGGTGACTATTTTGTTGTAGTGCGGTAAACTTTTTTTTAGAACAGAATCGCCACAAAGGTAGTAAAGTTGCCAGAGCATTTGATACACAAAGAATGTTGCTAACACTTATGTCTGTTAAATGACTAGCACTGAGAAACGCACTGTTACTGAGCACATAACAGAGGCATTGTTCTCTTAAATTACGTTCAATGAATTTTTTTAAACGCATAACTTTTAATTTTTATTAATTATTTCATGAAAAAATTACATTCACTTTTAAACTTTTAGATACATATATATATATTTTTTTTAATTTTCCACTTTCCATTATGATTGGCTTTTAGGGTAAATCTTAGAAATGAACACTCACCCAATATAAACGCTTCTTGGTTACAACTTTTTAGCGAACAAAAGGCTTTTCGGTAATCAAATCATATATAAATATGGATATATATATTTTTTATTTACATAAACGAACACTTATTTGTTTGTTAATTTATTTTATTATTTATTTTATCACAATTGTAAAAGTTTCACAGAAAAAATAAATTATCGACACGTGGATTTTTCTTAAACATACTATATTACGTCATTTAACTTCCAATTTTACGTTAAATTAATATTATATTAATTTTTGTCAATTTATCAATAAAATAACGAGAATCGTCAACAGAGGGAAGCAAGTACTATTTTCAATGAAAATAATTACTTCTTCCAAAAAATGTGGTTGAAAAATTACATAACGCGTACCGTAGTCGAAAATTATTGAAAACACAAAGAAGACAGGGGCTAGTTGAACAGTCGATAGTATCGAAAAAAAAAAAATAATTAACACAATTTTTTAAATTTAACGATTTTATAAAACGAATTATTTGACATTTTAATTTTATAAAAAAAAATTAACACGAGGGACAAAATTTTAGCGTGTGATTTTTTGTATTCCCTTTGACTTTTATTATATTTTATAGTTAGCTGTTGTTTGAGTTTTGGCGCGTAAATTGGCGTACGTCGTGTAGAGCTGAGAGTGTGCGTGGAGTGACTGAGTACGCTAGTTGGCTTTTGTAGGACATTCTGTGACCAAAAGAGAAGTTTTTTTTAGTACTTCTTCCGATCATGTGTTTTTTTAATTGATGATTATAGCATTATGCTGTTGGATTTATGAATGCAATAACAATCACTAACGAAATTGTTTTGCGCACAAGACAACGGTATTCAAGCGTGGCGTAGAACGACACAGTGTTTTAAAGTCATTAAAAAATAGTCATAAGTATAAGACGCTAAATATGTGTCATTTATCCAAATCCATTATCCAATCCATACTCATCTCAGCATAATTTCTATAAAAATTAACAAAAGAGATATTGAGTTAATTAATCAGTTAAAAAAAAACTTTGGTATCATAGACTTTCGCCACAGGTCTATAATTTGTCGTACAAAATATTTGGATAAAAGGAAAAAATGGAAAACCTATTTTGGTATTTCCAATCATTTCTGGAAGCCGAAAAATGCTTCAGCGCTTACAAAGCACCAATAATATATATATAAACCAATAGGTTATCTATATATGAACATATGTAAATAACAGAATAATATACGGATCGTAGGTACCTGAAACTTGGAGGGTGTGTTCTGAGAATGACGTATAGTTCCGGTAAGAAGTGGACCTATGGCCGACCTATTCGAAAAAATCGAATTTGTTTTTTAATAGTTCGATGTACAAGAAATTTTTTTCCCAAATGGGAAAATCGCATGCATCGTTGGATCTGGAACATAGATAGCTATTTCCCTAAACTAATAAATAGATTTTTTCATGTTTTAACTTACAAAAAAAAAAGAAAGTCATAAAGCCCTAATAAAAATCTTATTAAACCCATCAAATGGTTCCATACCGACGCTGGCAATCTTTAGTGTTATTTTGATATCCAAAAAAAAAGAGATAAATAATCGAATGTTTATTTCAATGTGAAGAGAAAGATATACCATTAATAAAAGGAAACAATATCCATTACAGGATCGTTTCATTTTCATGAAAATTTTCATCGTAAGATCAACAAATCGTAAAGTGGCTGCTTTATGCCCCCAATAGCTTCACTAGTTCCCTTTTGATGTTTTGAATCGACGTTGAAATCACAAGATATCAGAGAAAGTAAACATTGTCCAGATCTATATCATACAATTCTGGCCATAAAATATCATTATATAAGAAGTTATATATAGTAAGTAAAGAATATATAAATGTATATAATTGAGCCTATTTGAAAGAAACTAATGAGAAGTTTTGAGGGAAATGCAAAAATAAAATAAAACACTGTAAACTAAAAAACCTTGAAACTAAAGCTTTAAAACTTAAAAAGGGAAAAATATTATATTTTTTAAGGATCGAGTTTTGTGTACGTATGTATATAGGATTTTCAGCATATACCATGTATTTCAGAAGTGCATCTTTTGGCTGCAATAGTCGAATTTACCGACCTTCTTGAACTCTCTCCCAGTGAAATCCTTGCTAGGAGCCCGATCGCCACCCATTACAGATGAAGAGCTTGAGCTGCTTCGCGAGTTCCGAATAATACTAGGATTAGAACCTGGACTTTTTAGTCAACTATATTCTTAATTATTAAGAGTTGACCTCAACATACCCTACGTATGTATGTCATGCATTCAATTAAACCCCGGACGACACTAATCACCATATTTTCCTGACCATGTTCCTTCCGACATCTGGCTTTTTCTACAGATGCAAAACGGATTGGATTCGCTTGTTCAGGTTTATTAAAGAAATCGAAGAAATACGCAATGATTGGATGGAAGAGAGAAGTAATTTTTAGAGACAGTATTCGAAAATTACCGGAGAGATGAAGAAAAGTAGTCGTACCGACGGACTGAATATATAAAAAATTTAAATCTCATTAGAATAATCCCACCTTTAAAGGGCTTAGAATGAACTGTAGATCTATTTTCGTGAAAAACATTAAAAAGTGCACCGAGTCTGATAATCATTTCGAATACGAAATACGATTCTTTTGAATTTATTTTAAAAGCAACGAATTAACAATAATTTTGTTTTTTCATTAGATGTATATGTATATAAAATTTTGATATCCCTGCGCACGAGAACAGGCGACAAAAATACAAACTTTGGAAATCCAATCCCGCAATGTTTAGGGATACTGCATACACGTATACATGATGTTATTCAAATATTATCTTGCTTTGCTAGCAATTCCCAAACATATGCTACCTCTCTTCGATGGGAAATGTCAGTACGAGCTAGCCAGCATCGAAATAGAAGGTGTAAGATATTTTTCTCTCCCAAGGAGTGAAAACCTAGCCAGGAAGCTGTACAACAGCTGACTGTTTAAGCAATTACATTTGAAGCCGTTCATTTATACAGTGCTTTGTTTTCTTTTTTTATGTATAGGAATTTTCGGATAATCCTCTGAACGGACTCTATTTCATATAGGCCACCGATATTATATTTATTTGTACATATATATGACCGCTGAACCAATTTTCAGCCGAGCTCCACCTCCAATTTGTGGTATGCGTTTTAATCTTTTTTCAACTGATTGAGGGACCTACAGATTACAAGTCAATTCCGCGACTTTGTTTAATGTCAGATATACTCTCGAACGGCTTGAAATTTCCTGCCGAGGGGCAACCCCAATCAAAAAAAATTAATTTATATATTTTTGGATGTTGGCTGAACAACGACTCGAACCCTGACGTTCAGAATGACGGTTCGAATTTCTAACCCATTAGCTATTGCGGACACCAACAATTAAATTAACACTATAAAGAATTTTGATTATATTTTAAATAAAATCCAAGCACTTTCAGCAAAGGGGCTTTATTTCTACGACTAACATTTCATTTTGCGCACCGTCGCCTCTCAACTTGATAGCTTACGGATGCATAATCGTCACTGTGACCGCATTTGCTTCCCAAATGTTTTGCTGCTCATTTGATATACTTTGCTTTTTGGTTCTTTAGAGGAGATCAACATTCTTAACATTAATGCAAACTGGGTGGGTATGTGTGTGATGATTAAACTCCATTGCCACTACATTTTCGTTTGACGAGTCCCTTAACTGTTTAATTGAATCGTTGATATTGTATTATTAAATTTATTTTAACAAAATTGAGTTTGGGGACCTATTGTATTAGTATATTTTAAGGTATTAATAATATTTTTATTTTAAATCAATTTTTGTCTTATATCTAGATATTAATGGCTGGCTGGGTGTTTGCTTTGCCGAACGCGATTCAGTAAAATTCAGTAACACTTGTAACTATCCATCAGGTCACCGAACAAAAGTTTTTTTGTGATTTGCTGACAATTCCCAAACATACATATGTATATATGATGTTTATGCGAAAAAATATGAAAATAACTGTAATGCACTAAGCGAGAGCGCAGATGTACAAAAAATAAAGTATGTATGTGTTTGGTTGTGAGAGTTATTTTCTCTCTCACATATTTTTAGGTTTTTTTAGACAATTTCAAATTGAAGTTAGCTATTTTCGATACGTTAAAGAAAACTTTCAAATGCAAAAAGTGTGATTTCACAAACAAAATATAGTGAATTTACGAAATAAACCACAATTGAATATCTTCACATAAACCTATATATGTATATGTTCCGCATATCTCGAAAAGTTACCTAACGTTTAACAAGAAATTTTGTGAAATTGTCGGGAAGTGCGCCAGAGACTTAGCTATTTGAAAATATCTTAAATATGGTTCGTCTTACGTAAAATTCGGTTCATATGGCATATACATATATAGGAAGCTTTTTGCTTTGATAAGCAGAACTAACTTATTCGAAAAAATCGTATTTATAGTTGTTTTCGCTTGAAATCCTTTTTTATTGGAAGTGGATCGATCTACTGTATTTGATAAAAATATACATATTCTCAGTTCGTTTTAGTTATATTTTTGCCTGATATGACTAAATAGAATTCTTTTTTTCCTAAAACTGAATCAGAACCAAGTTCGATTGGCTTGAAATATGTGTAAATAATACTTTCTTTACGGTAGATTAGCAAAAATTAGTATGACTTGGATATATATATTTATGTAAGCATAGATCGTGAGTACCTATGTTCGCTTCGAATTTTTTATTATTCTGTGGCTGCGGATTACAAGCTATTCTTATACATTCAACTTGAGTGTGAATAAACATAGTATCTTAATTAATACATGTGTATATACGAGTATGCCTTACTTCGGGGCATTGATATACATATATTTTCGTGAAAGACTTCGAGCAGCGAAAAAGTGGTCCACAAGTGTTAAGTTAAAAAATATATAAAAAAATAATAATAATTTGACGCAAAAAAACTGGACCGAATCAACGCCTGCGATATGCTGCTGAAACGGAACGAAATCGACCCATTCTTGAAACGGATGGTGACTGGCGACGAAAAATGGATCACATACGACAATATCAAGCAAAAACGGTCGTGATCGAAGGCCGGTGAATCGTCCCAAACAGTGGCCAAGCCGGGATTGACGACCAGCAAAGGTTTTGCTGTGTGTTTGGTGGGATTGGAAGGGAATCATCCACTATGAGCTGCTCCCATATGGCCAGGCGCTTAATTCTACCATCCACGGACGTAGCGCCAAGTGATTACCATCTGTTCCTGTCCATGGCGAATGCCCTTGGTGGTGTGAAGTTGAACTCAAAAGAGGCTTGTGAAAAGTGGCTGTCCGAATTCTTCGCAAATAGGGAGGGGGGCTTCTACAAGGAAGGTATTATGAAGTTGCCGTCTAGATGGAAACAGATCATGGAACAAAACGGCACATATTTTAACTAAATCCGATCACTGTAACACTTTTTGTAAAGTATTGAATGAAGAGCAAAAAAGCAGAAGGGAGATATTTGACAATTTTATATATCAAGGACTTTTTAAAAAAATAAAATCGCTGAAGAAAGCAAAAAATTGCATATTCTTTTTCTTAATATAATTAATAATTTTTTAAACTAACGTATACCTTAATAATTTTGATTTAGAGCTTTACAATTCATAAAAAGTGAT